TCCAAGGCTTTCTGAAGTGTGTAGCTGGCCAGAAATACCACAAGGAACTTGGAGGAGTGTCAAGAGCTGTGGTAGTAAGTCAGTGTGGAAAGCTGAGTAACCTGCTGATTATTACAGATTTTATTTCCTGAAAAAAAGAGGAGGGTGAGAATGAAGGAAAATATTACAGGAAAACTAAAGACAAAGACAGAATCCTATTCTAAGGCATCATAGGATCTGAATGACTTGGGACATTCAGAATTATTAAAAATTATTGCCTCATGTGTTCCTCTTTATTTTTGTCTGTTAATAAAGTTGAGATGAATTAACTGAGATATGAAGAAAGTGTCAAGAAATTGTGACTTGAACAGATAAAAATGTTTTGATCAGTTTTTTATCTGCCAGAATGATGGCTGAAATGGGAGCACCTCAACGGTCAGTGAAAAATTAAAAAATAAAATGGCAACTAGGGGAATCAGTGGGTGGTTCTCCTGTTACACAGGGTCAGACTATTCCATGATGCCTCCTAGGAGGAGCCTCGAAAACTTTCCAGATTCTGATCTCTTAACTATTTTGCAATAGTGTAATTCCAACCGAGAGTAGAATCAGGCACAATAGCTTTGGGAATTCCCACGCCCTTTAGGTCTTGTCTTCCCTGCTAAAAAAAGGGGTGTGTGTAGAGAGATTTGGGGGGGACGAGAGATTTGGGCCCAAAGAGAGATTTTTGTTTTGTTTTTAATCTGGTGGTAACAAACACACACACAGAAGCTATCCTGAGATGAAAACACACTGAACACCGGGCACTTCAGCTTTACTATGGGCTAAATGTGGCTAAATGTGGCTGTTGCCTACTCTGGCACTTGGAGTGTAAAAGGTTGGGGCTTTAAAAAATACCTTGTCTCGAAAGCAGTGGTGTCCAACATGCTAGTCGCTAGCCACATGTGGGTATTTGGTTGTTTGAGTGTCGCTATTTAGCCGGTTGAGTGTGGCTAGTTCGCAGTAGAACTGTTTCAGAACTGGTTAGACACCATGGCTCTAAAGGCTTCCGCTTAAAACTCCCCAAGGTCACAGATTTCCTGACCAGGGAATGGTATGCTGCCACCACCCAAATGCAAAAACACATTTGAGAACCCAGGGAGACACACTTGGAAATTTCATCCTATGGGATGATACGCCCAAGCTCTTAAACCCTTCTTTAGGAGAGAGCTTGAAAATAAATTGCAATTTCTTAATAGCTGACCTTCAGTTTCAGGTACATGCACACAGAACCTTTTTCCTTCTAGGACACAGGAATCTGATCACAGTCTTAAAACAAGTAATTTTTTTATTAACAAAATGAAGATATATTTGGTAAAGCATACATGGTTGCTAAGTGTTATAAAGCAACTGAAAAAGGCAGATTAAAAGCTCAGAGACTTGCTTCCCTGGGATACAGTTTAAAAGTTACAGTTCTTTTTCTAGCTATGGATATCGCTGGAAAATCCATGCTTTGTTCCTGGTTAACTCCTCTCTCCCAGCTCTTGCTTTGTTCACCAAGGGTACATCTAGATTGCAAGCTTCTTTTGAAAGAGAGCATCCACACCTCAAAACCGGATTGAAAAAGCAATCTGCTTTTTTGAAAGAGAGTATCCAGACTGAATGGACGCTCTCTCGAAAGAAAGCCCTGATTGCTATTCACAGAATGGCCACCAGGGCACCTGTGCTTTTTTCAATTGCCTCTTCGTTAGAAAAATGTCCCTGTTCTGCGTCCACACACACCTTTTTTTTAAAGAGCTCTTTTGAAAAAGGCTTTTTTCCTCGTAATTTGAGGTTTACCAATGTCAACCCCCCCCCCCCGCATTCTTTCGATTTAATTTCGAAAATGAGATTGCAGTGTGGATGCAGGTGAAGTTTTTTCAAAAAAAGGGCAGTTTTTTCAAAAAAACAATGTAGTCTAGACATACCCCAGAAGACTGAAGCAGGCAGAACCTGTTTCAATTCAAATCTCACATTCTCTTCACATTGGCCAGGGGGCAGTGGGGCATTGCCTTCCCAAACATCTAGCCTTGCCCCACCAAGACTCTGCCCTCAGAAAGTACTGAGAGTTAGTGTTGCTGCCTTTGAGTGCCTTCCCACCCTGTGCCTTGGGGCGATGGGGGCAGGGCCTGGGTAGAAGGCAGGGGATGGGTCAGAAGGCTTGCCTGCCCCAGCCCTATCTTCAACCCACCACCCATGCTAATGTTTTCCTGGCTCCTTGTCAACACTTCCTGGATATTCTCCATAATCCACTGTCTCTGGGTTTAACCTTTACAGGCAAATTAGTTAACGGAATGGCTGGGATGTCTAGAAAAGGATAGCACACCCACCCCCCTGTCTATCACGTGCACAATGCTATAACCCAGGGTGGGCAACAATTTTTTTTAAGAATTTGGAAAGTGGTCGAGAATATTAATGGAGGAGGTGAGGGGTCTGGAATGGAGGTTAGATGCAGAAGGGAGCTTGGGGGTAAGGGAAGGAGTTTGTGTAAAGGAGGCAGTTGTGACTTGGGGCACTGGACTGGGGTGCAGGGGGTTGGATTGTGACCTAGAGCAGGGAATTGGGGTACAGGAGGGGGTGCAGGGGATTGCGCTGTGAGCTAGGGCAGGAGGGGACTATGATCTGGGGTGGGGAATTGGAGTTCCAGATCTGGGAGGGAATATGGGTACAGGAGGGGGGCAGAGGATTTGGGTATATAGAGTAGGGGGGCAAGAGTGGGGGGCCAGAGGGTTGTAGAAGGGAGGGGCTAGGGTGCCAAGAGGCAGACTCTAGCCAGGAGACTTACCAGCCACCCACCTGTTGCTGAATCAGCCTTCCTGCCCCACCCCGCGCACAGGCACAACCATGTGCTCTGTGAATAATGGCCATCTAATGGTTCTTATCTGCTTCTTTTAACTATCCAGTCTTTAGGTGCTTATAGATTATCAATTTTGCTGGTTACATACCAGCTCGGTTTTTCCTTAGATATTTATATACCCACTGCGTCTTTTTGTGCTCCCCTCCCATTTTTTTCCTTCCTCCCCTCTCCCCCTTCCCTCCTATTTAATTTTGGTTCTGAACATCCAACGCTTTGGTCATCTGAAGAAGTGGGCTGTGCCCATGAAAGCTCATGAGTCCATCTACATGTTTCATTAGTCTTTAAAGTGCTACTAGACTATTTGTTGTCTTTTAAGTTTATCCTGTACAGACTAACTCAGCTACCCCTCTGAAGTTTATGAGTACCTTGTGCTTCATGGCTGCCTGTTATTGAAACAGGCAACTTCCATTGGTCAGTTTCTGGTCAGAAGCTGGCCAGTGGGATTGTGCTGGGGGGTGGGGAGCAGCTCCAAACCCTTCCCCCATCCTCTCTGGACTCAGTTTTTAAAGTGATTTTAAAGTGTTTCTGAGTGGCATGCAGGTGGGGCGCCTGCTTGGGGCTTGTGTCTACAGGCCATATCCAGTAGCTTGGTGGGCTGGATACGGCTCATGGGCCATATTTCGCCCAGGCCTACTATACCCCCTTCAAGGCTGACCACCACAAGATTACCTTATGATAAAATTAAAGGGCCTGATCTTCACTTTGTTTTTGCTTCAGGTACCTCTTCCAGGCTATGTCTAAACTGCAGGCTTCTTTCAGAAGAAGCTTTTCTGGAAGAGATCTTCTGAAAAACTTCTTCTGAGAGAGCGCATCTACACAGCAAAAGCGCATTGAAAAAGCAATCTTCTTTTTCAAAAGATAGCGTCCATTCAGTGTGGACGATATCTCGCATTTAAACTGTGATTACTATGGATGGAGTGGCCACTAGAGCACCTGTACTTTTTCCTCTTTCCTCTTCTTCCGAAAGAACTCCCTCTTCCCCATCCACATACACCTTTTTCTGAAAGAACTCTTTTGGAAAAAGGCTTCTTCTTCGTAGAAAGAGGTTTACCACTGTCGGAAAAAGCCCTCTGTTCTTTCAATTTTTTTTTTTTGGAAGAACGCGATTGCAGTGTGGATATAAGTGATTTTTTTTGTAAAAACAGCCATTTTTTCCGAAAAAACTCTGCAGTGTACACATAGCCACAATTTAGTTAAACAGAGGCAAATATTTATTTATTTATTTATTTATTTATTTTATTTTAAAGCGGTGAAGATGAGGTCTTATTTTGAAGGCTTGTAACCCAGGATTTAAAAAGTATTACATTTTATATTTGCGGAGAATCTTATTGACTTCTGTCAGAGGGGCATTCTGTTGTTTAATTCATAAAAAGGTTTTTCAAGGGCTTAGATAATTCTTTGGATGGAAGATGCTATAGAAGTGCAAAATATCTTTATAATGAACCCAAACATTTTATAATTACATCTGCTGATTATTTTGTTGTTGTGATAGGGGACAAAGCATATTTTTTGGTTATGAAATGTTTAGTAATTATTTAATGCCATTGCTTCATTTTGAGAATAATAATTTTCCTTCCCATTTTTTAAAAAAAAGGTAGTTTTTGAAAATTCTGCTTTTGTTTTTGTTTGTTTGTTTGTTTGTAAAACAAAGTACATATGGCGGAGAGGGAAAACTAGCAAAATAATCTTTATGAGTAGAATTTCTGTAAATTATCCATTGTTGGACATTCCTTAGCAGAAGAGGATGGAAATAGGAGACAAGAGAAACAAGATGGATCATTGTATCTTCATTTTATTTTGTTTCCTCAAACATATTCTCCTTTGGGCAGACAGTAATTGCAGTTTCTAATGACACAAACTTGAAGGGAAACAGAAGACTACAAACAGGTTTTTG